GGGGGGGGGGGGGGGGGGGGGGGGGGGGGGGGGGGGGGGGGGGGGTACCACGTCGTCGTCACACGAACACCTTGAGGTGCCATTACTCGCTTTGCATGGCAGCTGCGACTAAGGAACCGTCTGCCACAAGACAGGAAGAGACGCACACAGCAGTTGTACTCTAGGACAGAAAACTACCAACAGAGGGGTGGGTCGGGAAAGGGGAGAGGGGGGGCGAAGCAGACTGCAGAAAGTATCGCTCGCGGATACCTTGTTTCCCTCCCGATGGCACAGCATGCGCTCCCCGTCGAGCTTGACGTCCATGCAGAACGGGCGCCCCTGCAAGCTTGGCACAATCTTGCCAAGGTCGTAGAAGAAGTTCATCGCCAGCATGGGAGAAAAAGTCGTGAAAACCTGTGCCGTACGTGATACATGGCAAATAGCAGCAGCAGCAGGAGCAGCAGCAGCAGGAGCAGCAGCAGGAGCAGCAGGCAGCAGCAGCAGCAGCAGTGGAAGTCGTGGAAGAACCACCAGATCAGAGTAGACGCACTAGGAAATTAGCGCACGCAAATGGCGGTGGATTGCGGGAGGGTAGCAGTTCGACAATAACGCGGCACTATTTGCCCCTGGTGTTGTTGTTGCTGTAGTCGCGCAAATGTAAACCAATCCCAATCTCGAAAGCACGTGCATAATGTAACATCGTACACACAGTACCTCGAGGTTGAAAGTTGCCGTGAAGGAGCTGTGTTTACCGATGAAGGCGCTGCATACCCTTCGAAGGCTGTTGTTTCGTGAACGCGGGTGTGGGATTTGGGAGGGGGCGTTGAGTTCGACTGGCCGAGCAAGAGTTAAGAGAGCGAGTCTCTCATATAGTGTTCTGATCTAGCTCGTTGGAGGCCAACAAGCACCAGGCAACAACGACGACGGTTCTCTCCTCCCCTCTTCTTCCCAAGTGAATCCTTGCAACAGATTCTCACAAACCCTTTTCGTATTCTGGGTACGCCGCCGTGGATGATCCATACCCCACAGTAACAATCGACGAGCAGCGTCGCAAATGTCATCATCCTTCATGCCCACCACGAATGACCCTAGAGGATAAATTCAGGTTTCACCTCTTTAGTAATGGGTGAGCAACCACCTTGAGCTTTAGGCGTCGCGAAGTCAGCGCTGCAATCTAGCTGGCGCGTCGAGATGTCACAATCACCAGTCACCTGGTGGTTCGGTTGTAGTAGTCCAACGCGCCGGGGTGGAACTTCTTGAGCACCTCTTTCTTGATGTTGATCTTGAGGTTTTTGAGGACCATCTACGCGCGTTCCATCCCGGCACGTGCAGCGACCCACCGGAACAAGAACGGGAGGACGGGAGGAGCCAAGAACACACGGAAGATCTGGTGAAAACTCGCTGCCGAAGAGTACTCAGGACACGACAGCCAGACCGATGGATGCGTGCACACCACAATACACGCAGACGTGACAATTATTTTTCTTGGCCTCGATTCGAACAAAGCGCACATGTACCAAGATTTTCGACAGACTTGTCCCTCGGGCCGGCCCTTTCTGTTCGTCATAGGGTGTTTTGATCTGCCGTAAATTGCACTTGAGTCGAAGTTAAGCAGGAGATTTGGTCGAACAAAGTTAAAACACCAGTATCCTCATTTCCCCCGTCCCTTCTCGCCCCGGTGTTTCGCCATGTCTTGGATTATGTGTACCCAACACTGCCAATCAGCTGCTCTGAAGCCATTCGAAGATTTGAGGCGTGCTCTGTGTACTATACTCTTAAACCTCAGACGCCGGAAGGCCTACTTTTCGGTCGGACAGAGGCAGTAGGGGCAGAGCGGGGGGGGGGGG